TACAGAATAAGAAAAGAAACAGAAAATTGCACCCAATGTACAGAATATGAGAAGTAGAACTGTGCACCTTCCCTACATTCAGAATATAATCAAAATACCCCAAGCATAAAGAATAAGAGCCGTAGTACTATCCAGCATATATACATACATAATAAGAACAGATATTTAGAAACACAGTCATCATGTAGAACAAGAGAAGTGGCACTGCACAGCATCCAAACATGTCAGAAATCATGACAAAACTAATACAAATAAATTATAATATACATTCACCGGCCACTTTATTAGGTACACCTGTTCAATTGCTTTGTAACATAAATTGCTATTCAACCAATCACATGGCAGGAATTCAATGCATTTAGGCATCTAGATGTGGTGAAAACAACTTGCTGAAGTTCAAATTGAGCATCAGAATGGGGAAGAAAGGGGATTTAAGTGGTATGGTTGTTGGTGCCAGATGGGCTGGTGTGAATATTTAAAAAAAAATGCTGTTCTACTGGGATTTTTATGCATAACCATCTCTGGGATATACAGAGAATGGTCCGAAAAAAAAGAGACTATATCCAGTGAGCGGCAGTTGTGCGGACGAAGATGCCTTGTTGATGTCAGTGGAGAATGGGCAGGCTGGTTGCTGCGATATTCAGATGGTGGGGTCAGAATTTGGCGTAAACAACATGAAAGCATGGATCTATCCTGCCTTGTATTAATGGTTCAGGCTGGTGGTGGTGTAATGGTGTGGGGGATATTTTTTTTTAGTACTAGCAAGGTGTACCTGATTAAGGTGGCCGGTGAGTGTAGAATATAATACGAAGAAACTCGTCTGCAGGAACACATTTGAAAAGCCATCCAGCACGAATATTTCAAACAATAAAATATCAGGCAACTCTGCTAGAGTATGTCAATGAATAAACCAACACTTTTATTTTCTCTTGTAACAAATTTGTTTTTATTAAGCAAAATATTTGATATATTTAAGGAGACGTCCTAGGTAAACTTAGATCAGAGAGCAGCGGCCATCATTATTCCGCAGTTCCCCCTACTACTTTTAAGCATATACTGTAAATAATTTGAGGCTTTCGCCTGCTGCTGACAAAATCCTGTAAAGTTGAAGGACGTCCAGGCTCTGTCAAGTATTAATTGCATCTCTTTCCATTCTCGGCACATTTCAGTTTGTAGCTCCCTCTCTCCAAATTGGTCTCCTAGCCCTCCAGCCTCTTCACTGCTGTGACTCCTGTGCAGACTACAGTTTAATATAGTCCTTCTCTGGTTCCTTATCTCTTTTAGCTGAGAATGTAGGAGGCACGGCAGGAAAGGAACTAGCTTAACAAGTTGAAGCAAAATGAACAGGCAAGCTGAATGAACTGAGCACCCTGCTCCATTATAATGGCGCAGGAAACTGTCAGGAGTGGCATAAGCCACATTAACTAAGCAGAAACCTCTTTCAGGTCTATCAGCACCACCCTACCAGTTTTTATATCAGGGTGAAAGAGAAACCAGCACAGGTCTGCCCCTAATTAAAAGAGACAATGTGGCAGTTTTCCATACAGAAAAGTACCACAGATTCCCATCAGGTGTGACCTGTCGTACGGGGGCATGAGCTGTCAGACGATGGCAGAGAGATTGGAGCATGCAGCTCCAGCTCTCATGTTCTCTCTGCTGCCTGTCCCAGACTCAGGAGAACAGAGAGCTGATTGCTCCTAATTAACAGAAGATTGTGCCCCTTTTGTTAATTACAACAAAGGATATGTCACCAGACACACATCTGCCTAATGAAAGGGTCCTCCAGGGCTCTGAAGCATCACTATTTTAGCGGTGATATCGTACAAGGGCGTGAGTTGTCAGAAGATGGCAGAGAGATTGGAGCATGTAGCTCTCATGTTCTCTTTGCTGTCTGTCCCACACTCAGGAGAACAAGAGCTGATCGCTCCTAATTAACAGAGGACTGTGCCCCTTTTGTTAATTACAACAAAGGATATGTCACCAGATACACATATCTGCCTAATGAAGGGGTCCTGCATGCTCTGAAACATAGCTACTTTAGCGGTGATGTGATCATTAAATAAAGCTTTGGACCAGTTTTGGAGATCTTTGTTGCGCTGGTGACATATCCTTTGTTCTCAACATTTCTGGACCCAGCCCGTGGCCACTGCAGCATCCATTTACCTAAAAAGCCATTACAGGAACATGTGCATTGGGGATATTTCTCTGGCCTTTTGTTAAATAGGCACAACGTCTGCTCCATCTTGTATTTTTAGAAGAATGGTGCAAGCAGGGCTGCTGTTAGAAACCACAGGGCCCCATACAGCCCCGGGGCCCGGTGATTGACATCCGCGGCCGCGAATGGCGGAGTGGGGAGGGCGTGCACATAGCTTGTGTGCATCCCCTACCCGGAAATGCAAAATGACGTATGTGATTCTGCGCACAGATGCCGCCCTGTAGCAGTATATCTGCTATAGGGCGGTCCTGAAGCGGTTAATAGTGAAGTTTATGTGAAATGCTGCGAGCAAAAGCAAGACTGTAGGGGGTCAAGAAGGTTGTTTTCAGTGAAGTAGGAGCTAAAACAGTTGTAGACTAGGGGGGAGATTTACTAACACTGGAGCACTCAGAATTAGGTGCACCTGTGCGTGGTAGCCAATCAGCATCTAACTTCAGCTTGTTCAAATAGGCTTTGACCATAAAACCTGGAAGCTGATTGGTTTCTATTCAGAACTGCACCAGAGTTTGCACTCTCCAGTTGTAGTGAATCTCCCACTAAGCGTTCTAAAAGTTTAGAGGTGATGGAAGCAGGGAGATGGGTCTTAAGTTGTTCAGGTTGGTGGGGTCCAGTGAGGGCTTTTTAAGTATGGGAGTGATCTGTGCATGCTTTAGGGGGGAGGGGAAGGTGCCAGTAGAGGTGGAGAGATTGAAGATGTGAGTGAGGGAGCATAGGATAGAAGAAGATGGTGACCGTAGTAGTTGCGAGGGAACAGGATCAAGGGGTAGTTGGTTAGGTGGACATCTGAGAAATGTTTGGTAACCTCTTCAGTAGTAGCAAGTTGAAAGGAGGAAAGTGTTGACTCTTCTGTTAGACAAGGTATGTTAAGTGAGGAAGATATCTTTATAGTGGATGTGTCCTCACATATTGCATCAATCTTGTCTTTGAAGTGATTGGCAAACTCTTAGGCAGTGATTTAATGGGTAAAGGCAGTGGGGGACAAAGAAGAGAGGTAAAGTTAGCGAAGAGCCGAAGAGGACTAGATGACAAGGTATTAACCATTTCTTGACCGTACTATAGCCGAATGCCAACTATAGCACAATCATCTGGTTGTGTGGGAGGGCATCATATTACATCCTCCCGGAACCACAGCCCCCAGTGATGCGCACCCGGCTCTTTCTGTGATCACTGTGTCCTTTGGACACAGCTGATCACATGACACTGTAAGGGGTCAACCACAGCTTCCTTTTACCACGTGATCAGCGGTGTCCAATCACAGCTGATCACCATGTAAACACACTTGCTGGTTATCGGCAGTACTTTCCTCACACTGTCACAGCGTGAGGAAAGTACTGTCACACAGCGTGAGGAAAGTACTGTCACAGCGTGAGGAAAGTACTGTCACAGCGTGAGGATAACTGGCTAGTGTTAAAGGAAACACTGCCAATAATCAGAAACAGCATAAAAGATCCTTTTCCAGACCAGGACTTTAGACAGTGTCGTCCCGCACAAAAATCCTTTAACAGCTCAATTCCTGCCTAGGCCTAGACCAGTGGTGGGCAACCTTTTTTTTCAACTGAACCAAATCTCGCCAAAACCACGATTGAAATTTATTTTGAGAGCCACATTTTTTAAAACTGAAAATACATAGGATGGTACACTGTTTTTAGTTTCAATAAGTTTTTATTGAGAATAATCTGCATGCAAGTATCCACATAGGTCGGGAGGATACAAATAACACAACTAATAAAACAAAAACTTATCTGTATTTATCTGTGGATGACGCACTGTTATGGGGGATCTGTGGATGACGCACTGGTATTTATCTGTGGATGACGCATATATGGCATATTATGTGTGTGTAAATAGTATTATAAAATTAGTGGGGCTCATCATGGATATTTTAAGCAGGGTTCTCCACCTTGATGGATACACCCAAACAGTAGGCAAGAAGTAAAAGTAATAAAACAGGCATGCACACATTGCACTGGCTCTGCAGTCAAGTTGAATAAAAGTAAAAAATGACAACATAAAATGAAATAAAAATCAAGATACAACTAAAAAAGTACATATAAAAGTATGTGAAAACACACTCAAATAGTCCTCACTGGTACTGTTATATATTGACCTCGGAACCTGGCCACTAACTTATTTTGTTGGCTCCTAGATTACGATATTCCGCAATTTTATGTCCACACCCCCCTTTTCACATCAACCCTTTTTATGTCAATCCCACAATGTCACATTTCTCCCCTCATGTCACATTTCTGCCCCTCACACTTCTCCCCATGTCACATTTCACCCCTCATGTCTCTCACCCCCTCGTGTCACATTTCACCCCCCCTCACATGTCACATTTCATGTCACATTTCACCCCCTCGTGTCACATTTCTGCCCCTCGTGTCACATTTTCTCCCCCTCGTGTCACATTTCTCCCCCCTCATCCCCCTCATGTAATTCACATAGTAATTTCTCCCCCCTCATTCATCCCCCATTCATCCCCCATATAGTAATTCATCCCCCATAGTAATTCATCCCCCCTATAGTAATTCATCCCCCATAGTGTTCATCCCCCATAGTAATTCATCCCCCATATAGTAATTCATCCCCCCCATATAGTAATTCATCCCCCCCCCTATAGTAATTCATCCCCCATAGTAATTCATCCCCCATATAGTAATTCATCCCCCATAGTAATTCATCCCCCATATAGTAATTCATCCCCCATAGTAATTCATCATCCCCCCCATCCCCCATAGTAATTCATTCCCCCATTCTCCCCCATATAGTAATTCATCCCCCATATCAGTAACTATATTCTGAAGCCCAGACGGCAATCCCTGATTCAGTAAAGCTGCCTCCAGGAGCAGCATCCCCCAGGGAACTGGAACCATCCTGGTCAGGGGCGGAGTGGCCATTTGGAAACTCGGCCACTGCCCGAGGGCCCGGGGTCAGTAGGGGGCCCCATGAGATGCCCCTGGAACCTTTTTCATAGGCTTTTTTGAGTTTGGGCAAGGACACAGGGGCCCCATGATCTACTATTGCCCGGGGGCCCCATGAGTTGTCAGTCCGCCCCTGATCCTGGTAGAGGAAAAATATTCTGGCAAGGTCTCCCCAAACATTTATCACCTCTCCAGCCACATTCTGGATGTCTCCTTCCAGGGCTTGGCTGAGGCATTATAAACATTCATACTGGCCATTTGACTCTCCTTACCCATGTTCTAGAAGCTTCTTCCAGAATTAGGTGTGAGACATCAAACACTCAACTTGGGAAACCCTGACCAGACAGAAACAATCAGTCACTGCTTCATTGACTACAGTGAAACCAAAAGCTAAACTTAGCCTAGCAGAGGAGGGCGATACACCAGTGAAGAAGCCTATTATAACGAAGGGTCAGTAGGAATGCTGGCGGGCAGGAGATGACAGGAATCTTCTACTACCTAGAAGTGTAGAGGTTTGGCCCACTCAGAATGGCTTGGAATTTGGGGCGGGCAAGAACCAATTAAGGCTGCTACACCTTACACCTTACACCTTACACCAGCTGGCAGCTTTTTCTTTTTTTTACAACACAGTCAAATATTAGAAGAGGCTTTTCTGTGATCACAAGTAATTTTGAAAATAAAAAGATGGTGGGGGTTGATTTACTAAAGGCAAATAGACTGTGCACTCTGCAAGTGCAGTTGGTCCAGAGCTAAGTAAATGAGGTGACTTTGCAAAAAATACCCAATCACATACAAGGAAATCTTTTTTTCTAAATGCACATGATTGGATACGGAAGTCAGCAGAGTTTCCCCTCATTTACCCAGTTCTGGAGCTTGCAAAATGCAACTGCAATTGCAAAGTGCACTGCCTATTTGCCTCTAGTAAATCAACCCTAATATGGACAACAGGGTTAAAAGTGTGTTTTTTCTTTGACCATCCTTTAAAACTATGTAATTTCATTATGCCACATATCGATCGTTTTTGTATGAATGCTTATATAAGCCTCAGCCTGCATAACTGTATCTCTACAAATGAATAAACTGCAGTGTCAGCAACACTAGACTGGACTGAAAAGCAGCACTAGAATATAAACCTTGCTTTTGCTTGAAATGTGGTGTCCTTGTCACTTCCTAGGAGTTCAACTGTAAGTAAAAATAATGTTATCTTTTTTCTGTAGACTACTAATCTCCCCATCCCTCTGGTAATGGAGATCAACAAAGGCAGATATATTTTTAATTCAGCTTGGCTGGCAACCATGACTCCCTCCATAGGTACATTGGAAGAGTGAATGTAGCCACCCAAAAACAGAAAATATGATATGTTAAGGAAAAAAGCCTGAAAAATTAAAACTAATGCAACCATCTCATCTTAGATCAGAAAGCTGCATTATTACTATTACCTACTAAGAGGGCCGAATCTAGGTGGGTGCTGGGTTGGGCTGTGTACCCCCCAGATTTCAGCTGTGCCTCCTCCCCCCCCCCCAGGGCTAGTAATGTTGGTATCAGGAAGTGGAGAGCCTAATGGTCAGCCTTTGCCAAGATGGCCTGACTGCACGGTGCTCCTCTTTTATCCATTGCACCGAATCATTCATTTCCATGGTGCAGGGGGCTCACTAGGATGAAGAGCATCACTCATTGCTATGGTGCTGGTGGCTGGCCTGCCTGCTTCATGGAAATGAATAACACTGATCCAGAGCAGGGATTTAAAAGAGGATGGAAGTCGTGCTTCTGTCCAGACCTGCTCCACCTCCCACCACCTGCCATGATGCTCCATGCAAGACCATGCTTGAAGGATACGTTCACCTTTCATAACATGTTACAATACACCCATATTCAGGGTGTAACATGTTATGATCAGACACCACAGTCCCTCTGTGAATGAGAGACTACAAGTTCCGACAGCCTTAGTGGCAACAGGAGGAAATGTGAGATAACTTATACACTGACTCTGGACCTATCCTCCAAGTTCTAGCCAATTCAGTAGTTTTCCAAAACTGTGCCTGACCAGAGCTTTTATGTAGCACTACTACCCCATAGGAGTTGCTGAGTTTTGGGTCCCCCTATAGTTCTGCACAGCCAGGCAACATGCATTTTTCACACAGACTGGCACCCAGGAGACAGTAACCAGTCTTTGAGCTTGTTTTTTTTAAATTTTATTAGGGGGATTTGAACTTGGATGGGGTATGGAGTGTATGGGATGCCCAAAGGGAATGGAAACAGCATCTGCCTAGAACTACATACAAGTCTCTTTAGACAGCAAAAATTATCTTTGGAGAGCTAGCCAGATGTACCACCCCAGATTCCCTTTATCCATCTGTACTGGGTGAATCCCTAGGCAGGCGATACAGTGCCTGTCACTTTAAATAGAAGACAGTCCTGGGTATCAAGCTAATCCAGTTTCCCACTAGAGTGCTCCTTCCCCTTTCTGGCCCAGGGAATGTAGGTCTGCTCACTCAGTCCTCTGTCTGTGAGCTGAGGGGTCGGTGGCTGCTCTCATGCCTACCACTGGGCCGCTTCTTCCCTGCTCCACAGATGGTCCTCGCGCTGGGGGCTGATGAGGTCCTGATTGTTTTTCCTTTCCAGCTTCCCTGCCTGTAGGTGAGCCGCTTCCCATCTGGGCCCCGTCTCAGGCTCCTGCTCTCCAGCCTCTTGCGTCATCTCCCAGCCTGCTGAGCAGGATCTGTCACATTTGAAGGCCTGGCCCCATGCCAAGCCTCCTGCTTGGGGATCAGCTAAGGTCCTCCAAGTGTGCAGGCCAGACCCTCTTCACCCCCGCTACTTCTAGAATCTTCTCCAAACTTCCAGAACAGGGGGAGGTAACAGGGAACTGGCCTGCGAATCTTCTCAACTCTGTCCCGAATCTGACCTCTCTGACTATTACCACAGGTTGCTACTTAGCCTCTGCCTAACAACTGAACACTAGCTCCCCCTATCTAGGAGGATGCTAAAGTTACATTTTATCTGCAATATCTCCTAAGAAATAGCAGTTCGCTTCTATAAATAGAGCTTTATGGTCACAACCATAAGTACTATGTTTGAAGACAGGTCAACAAGGCCTATACAGACAAGAATACCATCCCCACTGTGAATCGTGGTGGTGACTCACTGATTTTTGGGGGGGGGGGGGGGTTTAAGGGCATGGAGAATGTTGAGAAAACTGATGGCAAGATGAATGCAACATGTTATCAGAAAAAAACACTGGCAGACAATTTGCATTCTTGTGCACGAAAGCTGAGCATGGGAAGCTCTCAGACTTTCCAGCAGAACACTGACCCTAAGCACAAGTCCAGGTAAACCCTCCAATGGTTACAGCAGGAAAAAGGATGAAGGTTCTGGAGTGGCCATCACAGACTCTTGAACTTAATATCATCGAGGCACTCTGGGGAGACTCAAACATGTGGTTAGGCAAGACGACCAAAGACTTTGCATGACCTGGAGGCATTTTGCCAAGATGAATGGGCATCTATACCACCTGCAAGAATTCAGGGCCTCAGACAACTATTACATAAGACCACACGCTGTCATTGATGCTAAAGGGGGCAATATACAGTATCACTGAAGGAACACTCTATATATTTCTGCCCCAGCAGCTACATAAAATATTATGCAGGAAGGAGAGGGGGAGAACCTGGGCCATCACAAAGAGTAACTGTACACTTCCAGCAGAGGACAGGGAGACACACCATAAGTGAATAAAAAATAATCAGAGAATGAGGAAAAATGAAAGTAAAAATGTAAAATCATTTATTTTTTGTGCTTTTATCTGCAATTCTGAATATCACATTGAATCTAGGGGGGAACATAAGCTCCATCCTACTACCTCAATCATCTTTTACTTTAACTCCAGGATGTGCTTGACTTTAATGGATGTTAACATATCCATATTACTCAGTGGAGTTCATCCAAATGATTATTCATTGAGGTTGGTGTTTTTGCCTGGCATCCAGCATTATCGCACACGTGTAATCAATGACAAAGATGTGTCATTTGGCCCCAGTCACATTTTCCATTGGAACAAAGAAGAGCTATGCTACATTTGTGCTTCATCTGGAAGATAAAATGCACTTAAACATTCCTTTTATTTAAAAAAAACAAAAACCTTAGATCCTTATTGTAATCATTATCATTCTGAAGTGGTGGTTATTACAAGCTTACAAGCAGAAAATCTGCCCAGTCATTCTGACTGACTTCACCAAAGACACTGGGAAACACTCCAGAGTACAAATTTAATTTTCAAAGGATGGGCCTTAGCAGACTGCAAAATGCATTAAGCTAATGCCTAATCATTACCACTGTTTGAATCTTCGACTTTATTTTACTTTATTAGAGAGCCAAGAATCTATTTTGTCTGCTCTTTTAAAACAAACTTTACCTGGACAGACTCACCATGATGTAATAACATGAGGTGACGAAAAAAGTCAGAAAATGCAATGTTCATAAGCAGGGCTCTCCAAACCTTCTAAATAAAGGGTCAGTTTACTGTCCTTCAATCTTTAGATGGGCCAGACTGTGGCCAACTGGAGTAGAAAATGTCTTGGTGTCGGTGGGAGTAAACAGTGTCCCCCTTGTTGGTGTCAGTGGGAGGAGTAGTACCCCCATTGTTGGTGTCAGTGGGAGGAATAGTACCCCCATCATTAGTGTCAATGGGAGGAATAGTGCCCCATCATTGGTGTCAGTGGAAGGAATAGTGCCCCTCTGTTGAGGTCAGTGGAAGGAATAGTGCCCCACTGTTGATGTCAGTGGAAGGAATAGTGTCTCACTGTTGATGTCAGTGGAAGGAATAGTGTCCCACTGTTGATGTCAGTGGAAGGAATAGTGCCCCATCGTTAGTGTCAGTGCAAGGAATAGTGCCCCACTGTTGATGTCAGTGGAAGGAATAGTGCCCCTTCGTTAGTGTCAGTGCAAGGAATAGTGCCCCACTGTTGATGTCAGTGCAAGGAATAGTGCCCCACTGTTGATGTCAGTGGAAGGAATAGTGCCCCTTCGTTGGTGTCAGTGGAAGGAATAGTGCCCCACTGTTGATGTCAGTGGAAGGCATAGTGTCCCACTGTTGATGTCAGTGGAAGCAATAGTGCCCCACTGTTGATGTCAGTGGAA